TGAATAACAGAGATACAAAAAAAATCAGTGCCTATTGTATACGAACAGGTATTCCCAAGGGAGAATTTCCTGTCATAAAAATATAAGAGTTTTAATTATTATCAGGTAATATGCTTCAGAGCTTAACCACTAAAAATCTCACAAGACAGAGAAGGTATCATCATGACATTAGGGAACTATTCAAACTCTCTGAGCCTTTTTGACCACTGCTTTTTTGAAACTCCAATTTAAAAAATATATATAGTATGAGGTAAGTGTACTAACATCAACAGTCCATAGTAACTCTTTAACTAATTTGAAACTCATTCTGAACTGTATACATATTAATCACTCCAACTTTCCGCAAGAGAGAAAAATGGGCTTCTAATTGACAAATTATACTTGAATCTCATTGACAACCCTAAATCTCAGTGGCAACCTCACTGACAAACTCATAGGCAAAATCACAAAACAAGCCTACTATCTCACCTTTTTCAATTAGAATCTTCAGTGGCATATTTATCAAAAATCTCATCTTCATCTTTGTAAATTTTGTAACACTTCACTTTTTCTTTGAATCTAATAATTACATATGTATGTATATATAAAACATATAATGAAATATATATTTTTGACATCTATATCTCAAGAAGTACTCGATATATCAAGACTTCATATTATACATATCATGAAGAAACTAGATAGAAAAATTTCTTCCCTCATGGAGCATACAGAGCAGAGTGCTATAGAACATATGGTAAATGTATAAGAGTGCCTATTATCTCTATGTCCACAGAAATGAATTAAACTCAACCTTCAAGACCTGGTTTAAATGTTGCCATTTCCATAAATATTCTCCTAAAGCTGGCCCAATTGGAAGTGACTCTTTCCTCCTCTCAACTCCCATAGCATGTCATTAGTCATTAATCTCTCTGTTACCTCATATATTTAATGAACACCTACTTCTGAACACAAAAGAATCAAGAGAAAGTTGTTCAGTGAATGAGCCAAGAAGCACATGAATGTTAAATAACGAAGTATGCATCCCCCACTCAATAAAGACCAATATTGATGCTAAGAGCCCTACAGGCAATTTTTAATTCCACAATAGCCCAGTGCAGTAGATAGAGATTGTTCAGAAGAATGAGGATGTAGCAATGAGTAAGACAAGAAAGCTCTTTCAAAGCTGTTTTACTAGGAGAGTCAGACAATAAACACATAAAAAACATATGCATATGATTTACACGAGATACAACTTAGTGTTAAGTTCCATTAAGAAAAGTAAAGGGTGGTACTGGGATGGGGTAGTGACAGTGGTCTAATTTTAGACAGCATTGAATTTGAGTGGAGCTCTGAATGAACTGAAGGAGTGGAGGAGGGGGCATATCTAAGGCAAGAGAATTGAAGGCAGAGGGAAAAAACACGTGCAAAATCCCTGAGGCTAGAACATGTGAGTGTGGCTGAAGAGGAGTAAAAGGGAGAGAGAGAAGTCGGAACAAGAGCTAAGAGACAGGCTTTGTAATATTTTTGTAGGTCAAGTCATGAAATTTTGTAGGAAATTAATATAACGCTGCCTTGAAATCAAGAATTATTTAAATTTCAAGAAGGTAAATGTAGTATAGAGTGACATAGTAGGAAGAAGGTCATTAAAACTTGCATCCAAACAAAAAAAAAAACCCTGAAGAGATGTAAACAGTGGATTCCTTCCTCAGAAAAATTATTATAATTTCCTGAGTCTGTTTTCTGTTTTGTAAAATGAAGATAGAACTGCCTGAAGGTAGTGATGAGAACAATATAGTCAAAAAAGCTGAGTTAAACCTTAAAACTGACATGAATTATACAAAATCCCTTTTATATGAAAAGTGCCTTAAGGAAGAAAAAGTTTTCCCTATGCCAGAGCAGAAAGGAAAAGAATCTGGCTGCTACAATATTGATAAAATATCACATATCTCAGGAAAGAATGCATCCATCAGAAAATGAGTTCGTCAGCAAGGAGCATGAGAGAACGGAAGGCATGAATTACCAGTACTGCTTCCAGCACTGACTGGGGAACTAAGTGTCCTATGAAGATAAAATGATGCAAACCTGCCCAATTCGACTGACAAGACAGATCTATCAGACCATCGGAGCCTGATGCCATTAAACATATGAGTTATCCAGTCAACTCTCTTTGTTCTGATTCCGTGCTCACAAGCTGCCTTCTGATAATCTAGTTTCCCAGTATGATTTTCTACGAGGAGAGAATGTTCTGGTGTGGCTGGAAAGTTACATTTCTCTCTATAAATTACAGCATTGGCATTCTGTATCCTATACTTCATTCTCCTGTGGGTTTAGTTGATGTGAGTCAGCATGCCTAAGTCCAGTAAAACTCTGATAAACTGACACTGCTTTCTGAATCTGTGAGACTGAGGGGTCAGACCCAGGGTTGTGATGGGCTCAGCAGGTGATGCCCCTCCAGGGGCTATTGGTAACTAGACAGCCATACACATCATTTTTTAACTTCTCCAGTGCCTAATTCAAAAGGCTGTGTGGTTTAGATGAAATCATGTATTTGAAAGGGTTTGGGAAGCTGTGAAGTTCTTTTGAGGAACAATGAAAAGTGCCTAAAAGCGGGTGAAAGAAACAAACTGTGTACTATAGACCTTGACCATCTGGTTATTTGGGACCATCTGCAATACAGAAGAAAAAGTTTCCAGTCTAGGAATAGCAGGTGTTCCCATGAAGAATATAAAACTCATAGTGACAAGTTCAGATACTGAGTAAGCTATCTTTCCCTGTTTGAATAATTCTCTTCAGAGATAGAAATTCTGGATTTTCCTTTTATGAATACAACACTCCAATACAAAAATCTGGAACCACCACTGATTGTTTTATAGTTATATAGATATAAATATAGATGTAGATACATAATCCTTATAATATGCCAAGCAACAGGTCCAGCTACACAGTTTGTTAGGGCCATGTGCAAAAGGAAAATGCAGAGTTTTTCAAAAGTCAAGAGAAAAGTGCTATAAAAGATATTAAAATATAAAGATCTTTCTTTTCCTTCACAGTCTATCTGTTCACTTATCATGGTGTTCATTTGCAATTTATGTCATTGTGTCCTGTACAACTGCAGTTTACTTGACCATGAAGCCTGCTCTACCAGGAACTGCTTTAAGAATAATTAAACTCTCATATCAACGGTATGAAGTTGGCACTATAGCTATCCTTCATTTCAGAATGAGGAAACAGGAATTGAGAGGTTAAGTAGCTCATTCAAGTGCTAATAAGGGCTAATAAATGGCAGAGCTGGGATGTGAACCCAGGCTTTTAAGCTCAAGAAACCATGATCTTAACCAATACATAGTGTTGCTTCCCCTAAAGGCATTGATTTTAAATTCATCGCAACTTTCCGTGGCTCTTCCTTGCTTCCTCACCTTCTAAAAACCTAAAAGACAATTCATAGGCATCATAGAGAAATCCATAGATATTGCAGGCGTTTACTGACTACACTTTATGTTAGCAGGTATAATGAATAATAGCTAACATTTTGCGTTTCACATGGGCCTAGCAATTTGATAAGGTAATTGTAGTCATTGCCTGTACTTCAGATGAGGACACAGAAGTTTAAAGAAATTAACCTTTGTCAGAATCAGGTAATAAGTGGAAGAGTCAGGATTTGGCCTCAGACAATCAGCATCAACAGCTATAAGCTTACATACTTGGTCACAGCATTGTGATTTTCCCGACGTCCATTTTAATGATGCCAGGGGTAAGTGACTGGGACCAGATTTATATAGATAGAGTGTATTTCTGCCATATTTCTGTTCAGTCTCATGGGCTCAACATGAGAGGTATAATTCAGCTGCAAGAGTAAAATGTTTGACATTCAAATGTGTACCCCAGTGCAAATTTGCTGTTTTCCTTTAAGAGTTTCTTCCTCTGTTTGAAAACAGTTCAGAGAGATTTAACCTAGAAGGAAATGCTAGAAACAAAAGAAGCCACAAAACTTTAGAAGGCTGCCCTTGGAGAAACTGTTATCCCTGGCTGCTAACTTCTAAGCAAATAGAGGTTGTAATTGGAAGAGCTCTCTTAACTGAATCCAATAGAGAAAGGAAGCTCAAGTGCTGGTCTTACTTCTGATGTTCATTAACATGACATCATTCCTTGGACAACCTTAAGATCAAAAGAGATGGGCATAAAACTGGAAAATTCCCAGATCAGTCTCAGAGAGTTTTCTATTTAGAAGCTGCTTTCAGAATAGCATAATTATCACAGTAATCACATAATTAAATAACAAAAGCATAATCAGAATAACCATTCCAAAAACTTACTAAATTAGGTGACATAGAAAAGAAAGCCTAAAGAAATAATTTTGACTTGGGACATAAAATTAACTCAGGAGCTAAGGGACTGTTAAAGTCCAGAAGCCATGAGTAATGATGGAAGGCTTTTAAATCCCTGGCAAATTTTCAAGGCACATAAAGGAAAATTAGGACTGCTCTTCCTGACAAATTTTTAATTAAGAGCATTGTATTCAAAAGTAGCAAATTCTTTTACCCACCATTGTATATTCTGTAGTTAATTGAAGATCCATCACAGAACACTTGGTTCTTCTATTACCCTTCACCTAAGGAAATCAACATTACCAGAGACATTTAAAAAATAATGGAAGACCTAATCTCATTTTAAAAGGCAGTAAATAAAGGGATATAAAAATACACTGTCTAGTGTTAAAGCATCCACTCAACTCCCTGTTCCTTTATTGGAACACACAGCTCCTCCCGTTTTTTCAACAGAACCTGTCTTAACTTGAGTTTCTCAAGGAACAGTGACAGAGACAAAGGATAACATGCAATAATTTAGTGGGGAGTTTGATGGAAGTCTCAGTAATGAGACCTGAATCATCTTAGATTTTTGAAAAATGTTTTATGTTTTCTGATATACAATATTATTATTTTAAGAAAAAGTTTATTCTCTCAATGTTTGTGTCAGTTCTTGTCTTCTTTCATTTTTTTTCTTTTGATAACATTTGTCAGGACCTCTCGATCGACGTAGAATAAGAAGAGGAAACCAAACCCTAAGGCTGCTGATATGGTCACATGCAGACTGCCAGTCCCCTGACATGATCTTAGCAGGAAGCCTTTCTGCTCCCCGGTCACCTCATACCCCCTGAGAGTCATGGATGGGAGGACTCGGCCCAGGGGTTCACCTCCTTGATTCCTGGGTTAAAGAGACTGACACAATCACACAAGACTGATGTTTATACTCTCCTTTTCTTAAAACCTGCTCCAACCCAGGACCAGATTCATGGGTAAGTGTTCTGTGTAGTCACATAGGCTTGAAATTAGAAGGGTCTCATGCCTGGTTTAATGTTCTCCTATCATTATCTAAAATTCTTAATCATTTTTGAACAAGAGTTCCCACATTTTGTTTCACACTGGGCCCCCAAATTATGTAGCTGGTCTGGCTCCCACATATCACTCAGCTAAACTCTCGCAGGAACCTTTTGAGTTCTAATGCTTATTCCTGAACTCTTAGATGTTATTACTATTCAGTCTCAATCCTAATCTACACCAGTTCTCACTAACTGGATTCCCACAACCCTCAATGCATTACATGCATCCAGGAGAATGCATCCAGGTTGTCTTAGCAGCCATGTGACCCATGAGGCAGATGACCAGCATTAGAAGGAAAAGGGAAAAAAAAAACATGGACACAACACCATTTTCCTAGAATTCTTTGCTGAATCTTTACTGTGTCAACCTTAGGGTTCAAAATGAGTGGCATTTTATATTTGTATGCAAAAAAGGAACTGAATGATTTAAAAAGTGAAGGCAAACTCCATTGTCATGATGAAAGAAGGAAACAGGTTCAGTGGAAATGAATGAGCAGAGGAAATATCAGGACAGAACCAAAGCACTAAAGGATTAGTGGTAGATAAGACAAATTCACATTACTTGAGAAAATTAATATTTTTCTGGTTGCACAGGCTATTGAAAATAATTAAAGGATGATAGCAAAGTTCAATAATAAAACTCCTACACTAATTGAAAATCTTTAATTATTTGTTACTTATCTGTCTTTAGAAAAGTGTGTTTAATATGTTTTAAGCTTTCTTCAATAAAATATTTTTAGTATTTTAGCTCATCATTCTGCAACTTCAAGAATCTTTATAGAGCAGTGTAACTGTATAAGACATACAATATTGAATTTTATGTTATTGAACACCATAACATATCCTGGGAGTTGTATGTGTAACAGAAAAACTACAACACCAACAACTATTTTGAAGGTTTACAACTTGGTAGGTAGCATATACTTTTTAATGGACTTACATTATTTAATCCTCAAAATAACCCTATAAATTAAGTACTATTATAAAAATAATGAAACCAAACTTTAAAGAGATTGAATGACTTGTTTAAGGTCAAATGGGAACCAGAGTTCAAATCCAGAAAATGCCTAATAATCCCTCTCTTAAAGATACACTACTTATACAAAGTTCCTTCGATCTAACAATCTGACATCCATCCAGCTTTTTACCTTTTACTCAACAACTTAGATTATCAAGAAAATTTAGAAATCCAAATGCTGAAAGCCTTTGACACTGTTTCCTGATCCAGAGAAACATTTTCCGAAGGGTACAGATGAGAACAATTACTAGTGTGTATCTCCCCATATGTGCATATTAAGTTTGTGAGTGTGGTGTAGTGTGTGTGTGTAAGAGTGGTGTGGTGTGTGTGTGTAAGGATGGTGTGATGGTGGTAGTGATGGGTTCTTTGGGAGTGAAGGACATGGGCATATGATCCTTCACTACCATATGCTGCTACCAGAATGAAAATATTTCTGTTGGGGAAAAGTACAGTTTTCTATGATCTCTAACTACCAATAAGCATAGCTGATAGATCTGGGACAAATCAAGCCTGGAGGTCAGGAGTCTCCACTGCAGAATGTCCACACTCTTTTGAGAATCCCTCCGGCAAGCTTACTTGCAGAGAAGCGCATGATTTTCTCCAGACAAGGGAAAGATTATTTCCTTGGAAAACATATTTCTGATGTCTGGTCTCAGCAACCCTTCTCACCTAATGCTTAATAGCATAAATGACACAAGATTCTCCTAAATAAACTAGCATATGGACTTCTCCATCTTTCTTATTCCATCTACATAATCATCAGATGATTCTGATTCAGTACTTTGTAATCACTCTTTTCATCTTAGTTTTAAATGGTCACAGACTATAATTATAACCATCAAAAATCCTTTCAACCAATTTAAAATCTCCTTTGATGAATGGAAATTTAATTTCAAGAGATTGGGATACGACAGGAGGAAGCTTCACATTTGAGCGCACTGGGAAAACTGAAATAGGTTTGGAGTCTTACACTTAAGTTGAGAAGTTCCTTAGCTGCAAAAGGAAGGAGGAGAAAGAAGAGAAGGAGGAAAAAGAGAGAAAAGGGAAAGAGGGTAAAGAAAGGGAACTGAGAAGAAATAGTGAGGTATGACAGTGAGGTTTTAATCAGAAACCATTTGAAGTATTTATGTCAGAGGGAATTTAATTCAGGGTATTGGTTGCATAGGTCGTGGAGGAGCTGAGAAGTCAAGATAGTCCCAGGATTAGCAACAGCAAAAAGCCACTATACTGTAGAGCAGGAGAGACAAAGGGAGAAAAAGGCAGGGTTACCTGAACCGCGGGGCCAGGGACACCTGAGAGGCACTACAGGCACAACAGACCTATCAGGAGGGAGCTGGGGTCGTGAAGGGACCCAGCCTGTTCAGAGACACTGAATGCATGCCGGGAGGAGGAGTTCTTCCTCCTCACGTTCCATATTTCCACCAAAACTTATTTTGGGTGAACAGGGTTGGGGCTAGTTGACACGCAGGGGTCAGCTTCCCTGTGAGAAGAGCAAAAACTGCACCTGAGGAATGTACCTGACAGGTTCTTTCAACGGTAGGTAAAATCAGAAGCCGAGTTGGCTGGAGTGGAGCCATCCACGTCACCCTCGTGGCTGAGGTGCGTGACTGACAGCTGGGGCCCAGATAGCGAAGGAGAAGGAACGTGACAAAGTAGCTACTGAAAAGCAAACTCTCCCTGTAGATGTACATCCACAAAATAGAGACGAAGGTAAAAGATTCCTCAGTACCCATGAGGGGAGTTATACGGAAAGGGTGAAATACCAGTGAGTGAGGGATCCCACCCAGGCCCCTGGGAAACTGCTGCACGCAGGCAGGTGATGAAAAAGGACGGGTGCCAAGCTAAGCTGGCAATGTCCCATGGGAGGTGGAGGGGACAAGGTAAAACTTATTGTTGGAGAAGCATTAGCTGCCTTCTGAGTTGGCTGAATTGTCCTGGCGACAAGAAATGACGGAGCTTCCTTGAGAAGAGCAGGAAAAACAGTGCTTTGTTTTGTCTTATTTTGTCCTAAATTCCCAGTTGCTCCATAGTCACAAACACACCCCATGAACACCAAGTCTGAAAGATAAATGAGTAAAAGGATTCAACCAGTCATGGTTAACTGCTGATGACACCACTAAAACCTCCGTCTGCATTAACTTGTAACTGTTTGGAACTTGATGCCTTTCATTCATTCCTTCTACCTCAGGTTCTTACCCTTTCTGTTAGTCTGCAAACCAAAGGGCAATTTATCTCTATTTTACTGGTTTTGGATTGTGTGCAGCTCTGACAGTGTTTAGATCAGCATCACCTGAGATACTTATATTCTTTTTTGTTTTATTTTTATTAACAATTACTGGTGGTGAGACACGAGATTCTTCATTTTTAACATACCACAACTGATAGCCATTTATACTTCAACCTGAGAATGACATATTTACAAGTGCTCTGGAAAGAGATAGAGAGCAAGAAATAGGAAAACAGAAACATAAAGTTCCACATCTCCACTCTTCTCCCCATAGTTTTATGTATCGGTCTTCCACTAAGATTTCATTGGAAGAATTTATTTTCTGTCAAAAAAAGAAAAAAGAGGAAAAAAATAAATATGTAAATGATATGTATGTATTAAAGGATATGAGAAATCATGGATCTACAGAACATTTTCCTTTAATATGGGCCCACTGCCATGCCTGCTCACATCCTGGCACTTGCCTGAGGTCACCTTCTCTGTTATTCTAGGTCAGACTCAGTGCTTCATTCTGAGAGCTGCTAAAGCTGTTATGCAACTCTCTTTGAGAAAGAAATCAGAAGAACAGAAGTTGAAATTGAAAAACTGACCTGTCTCTTAGTCATTCGTAAGCATTAGATCACTTCTCTACAGAGTAGGTCTAGGCCATTCTTTTTAATCTTATGGCAAATATCTTTAAAATGTTTATACTGCTTTGACATTATTTTGTATTTTAAACTTTTGAAAACAGTTCTCATACTTTTTCATGTCTCAGCTTTGTTATATGCCACCCATTCTCTCTTTTGTGCATGCCCTGTGACTGCGTCCCACATAAATGTTTGTGCCAGATCATCATATGCTAGTATTGGCAATTCAGTAATAAAAAGATATCACTATTTCCCAACTTTCTATAACAAATATAAAGTAATGTCACCAAGGATATATAACTCTGATATATTTTAAGCTAAGAAAGACATCAGGAAATAAGACATTTTTGAAAGATTTTTTAATACCCCAAGGAGAGAGAAAAGCCATGGGCTTTAAAAAACAAAATAAAGAAGTCCTTTTTCAGAAATGACCCATGTGAGAACATAAATAGAAAGAGACAAAAGTAAAGGAATTTGAACAGAATTAAAGTAAATCAAGAAACAAAGAAAAGGAATTTATATAGATCAGGTTACAAAATTGAGGGGGGGAAAAAAGCCAGTATTGGGTTCAAGAGAAAAAGATTACAGAACATGTTATCCCCTAATTAAAAAGAAGGAATTAAATAATACATGTATTTTTAGACCTGTCTCAGGAACAATGAAAGTTAGAGAGACAGGATATGGGATAGGAGCTATGCCAGGCCACCAATCTGATAATGAAGAGGGAATTGTGGTATGGAGTTCGAAGGCCTGGGTTTGATAAAAACTTCATCACTTATTAGCTGTGTGACCTTGCACCAGTCATTTAATGTTTCTTAAGCATCTCTACTTCTGCATTTGTATGGTGGAAACTATGCCTGCCTAATGGTGTCTGGTGAGGGTTACACAAAGATAATACAGATAAGTTTTATAGACTTCAAAGACCTTCTGAATATGCAGGTCAACAACCCATAAACACAATTATTTTAAAATCAGACCTTGCAGCACCAAATGTTACCAGATTGTTCATGAAATATAATTCATGAAGCATCGATTCAACCAACATTAGTTGAGCACATGCTATATGTCTGTGAATGTGCTAAGTGCTAGGGATATGAAGATGAGCCATAAGTAGCTATGCATAATGATAAATGAAACCTTTGAGGAAAAAACAAAGTAGCATTATGTATGGTCAGGCCAGTTTCAGGGAGAAAACAACATTTAAAACTGGGTTGTTGAAGCCCCTCTAAATGGACCTTTATTACTGTAACGAATGGAATTTGTAAAAAGCTGAAATAACTCACACAGAAGTAAGAAACAGTGACTATGGAAAGAAGTGTTAATAGAGTGAATAAATAATATTTGAAAGTTAGATATGGAGTTTGGACTACTGGCATTCCTAAAGATGGATTACAGGTTGGTTGGTTTCTTTTTAAATTCTTATCCCAAAGCCTGTTTAGAATTTCACAGAATGTAATGCATATACAGAAATGTCTGGTCAGTTAGTAGACCACTTAATGGACTTAACAGCAACCATACATTGACTGAGGGAAAGTAGGTACATATTATGAAATTCTTAAAATACATCTTAATAAAGCAAACCATGGTACTTTTTTTGAATCAGACAGACACTGAAAGAAAAACACTATTTAAATATGAGATATATAATATCTTATCATGCCAATGGTGAGAAGATTGGGAGTGAAATTAAGTTGACAAAGGAATATATCAAGATTGTTTATTTATCCCCTGAAAGCATGTGATCTGTAGGAAACATTAAGTTCAGGAGAAGCTTTAAGTTAAGATGGTTAAAGAAGCTTTAGGTTAAGCTTTTGATTTGATGATGGACAAACCAAGCTCAGATACATAATTTTTATAGTCTGTATCACACAGATCTCAATAGAAAAGACTCTAAATACCTCAGGATATCTCTAAATAAGCTGGCATTGGAATCAGTCAACCAAAGTGAAAACATCAAAACAAATAGAGAGGACAGAACAGCATTAATAACATAAAAATGGAAGATGGACCAGAGGGAACTGTTACTACACACTTTATAGAGGAAATATTTGCCCCTGAGAAAAGGAGGATTAAAAGAATTAAATCTGTACTAATTTGGAAGTTACCCATAGTAGAATCTTACTGTTTTACTTACCAGCCTCAATACCCTACCTGATAATTGCGTGTTGATTTTCCTCGGATACCCTCCTTCTCCAACTCTGACCCCATATTTGTTTGGACTCCTACATTCAAGGATGTTTTCTAAGGCTGGGTTCTCCTGGAAGCCGATTCTGAGTTGTGGATTTGAGGGCAGGTGACTTATTAAGAAAGTGTTTCCCAGATAAATCAGCAAAGTGGGAGAAGCAAGATCAGAATGGGAAGAAGTCAAACAAGTGTTTGATTTGATTTCAGGTGATATTCCAACATCAGTCTGATGCCAGAGAAAATTCTGTAGTATAAATTGAAAATAAGAGTTTGTTTTGCCTCATGGCGAGAGAACTGAGCTTTTATATACCACACCAATCTAATCAATGACTTTGGGCTACCCTAGGACTGGCACAAGATGCCAGATATCTGACTTCCTACAATGCATCTCTCTGTGGGCCAGGGCAACCCAGGGCAATCTTCTTAAGATTGTAGCTTCAAGGCAATCATAGCAAAGACACAGACGTGAAGGATGAGGTCAAAGAACCTGTAAAGTAAATCTGAGGGAATCTTTTCGGGGCACCAGCAGTCTCCCCCACAGGTGGACACAGGAAGTAAGTCTGAACGATAGCGTATTCCTTGCCCCTGGACATAATGGATGCTTTTGTAATAGCATGTGGACAGAGGTGTCTAATCAGGCAGCTGAGAGGCACTCAAAGAAAAATACAGAGAGACTAAATGTAAGTCAGAAGCTTCTGGCAGTCATGTCTCCACCATAAAGAGAACACCTGCCCGAGAAGGGAACACACGGAGTGGGAATCAGAGCGAAGAAGTGGTGAGTACAAGGCTGGACATGGTGACATTATTTGAATCGCTCTATCACCTGGTTTCACCAGAGATTTTATAAGGCTATTAATAAATTTCCTCTTTATACTTGAGCCAGTTTGATTTGAACTTTTCTTACTTGTAATGAAAACAGTCATATTTGAATAACTATTAACAAGGTAGCACTGTGGAGTCATTTTTTGAAGCCTGAATCCACATACATTTACTCTGAAATCTGTCTGACGTCAAACATCTCCATGTGTATTCCTATTGAAGGGAGCTATTACCTTGGCTTGTGAAAGAAAAGAAGCCGCTCAGAAGGCAGACCATGCCTCCTTCACAGGCAGCAGGACTAGCTATGATCAATAAAGAACTGTCTTGAAATTTAATATTTTCATGTTAGTCTATAAAGGTTGAAAGAGAAAAATTAATGATGGCCAATCAGTGAATTCTACCTCTCCATACTGAAAGACAGATGGTCAGGAAAATGCATAGAGTGATGATGCTATGAAGGGAAAATGCTAACAAACCCCTGCCCCCACAAATAAAAAAAAAAAGAGAAAAAAGTATGAAAAAAGAAATACATAAAATTAGGAGCTCAAGATTAAGAGAATTTAAAAGACCAAAATATAGATAAAAGTTAAAGTAGAAATCTCCTTATGGTGTATTTTCATTCAATCCTATGCTTATTTATTCATTCTTTTAGTAAATATTAATTAGAGTGATTGGCTATGTCCCAGGCATTATATTAGGTACTAGGAATAGAAAAAAATATCCCTGCCTTCATGAAGCAATGAACTTTCTTCCCCTCCTTCCTCTTCTTCATCTTTTTCTTCTTCTATTTTTAATAAACTGCTCCTAGAACAGCATCTGGCACATAACAACTGCTCAATAAATGTTTGAATGAAGAAATTAATATCTTAGGGCTAAAAACTTTTTAAAAGAATAAAGCCAAATTTTAAACAGACAGATGAAAAGAATAAGAGAAGGACTTTAAAGACAAATAGGTAAGGAGAAGAATAATGAAATGGCTCATTTTTACTTAATGAACATTTTTTAAAGCATCTACTCTGTGACCCACACTGGAGTAAGAGCTATTCACAAGAATTGTATGTTGGTTCTTTCAAAGTTTCTATTCATTTTCTGAGATACTGTAACCTTTCATACAGTACAAGCATATTTTTCTTCACATTATTAAACAGAGTCATAAAACTTGCTTGAAAATATTTGTCTAATTCCAACATTCTGGTCATCTTGGAGTCAGTCTCCATTGATTGCCTTTTCTCTTCAGAATGGATCATGTTTTTCTAGTTCTCAAGTGTTAAAAAAGTTTTGGATTGTGCCATGAACACTGTTGCTTAGAGTTGATTCTAGTATACCCTTCCAAACAGTATGTTCCCTTTAACAGACAATTAATTTGCACTCAAGCTGCAAGCTCTGCCTTTTGAGAGAGTATCTATCAGTTTAACTTTTTTGTCTTTCACTTTAGAGCCTGGAGACTACGCTGTGCATGCATGGTTGACAACAATGGATAAAAACTCACTGAATTAAAAATGTTTTTTTAAATGTGTCTATACTGATCAAAATAAGTAATAAATGACCAAATTGAAAGTTTGATGAAGAATAGGATATTAATATAGCTCCCAGTGCCATCCCATGATATAGTTATTATCTACACAGGGGGAAGGTAAGTGGAAAAGCATGACAGACACCTCCAGAATCAAGTGATCAAAGTTCACATCACTAGTTTTGAGCAAATCAAACTGTGTACCATTCGATAAGATGATAAAAGAAAAACACAGCATCATTTCCATAATGTTCTTCTAAAGATGCAGGATCTGAATCTGGTCATAATAAAAAGCCTAAATAAACTAAATGGCATTCTACTAAAAAACAACTGGCCTCTCATATTCAAAATTATTAAGGTCATTAAAGTCAAGGAAAGACTGTTCTAGACCTAAGGAGAATGAAGAGACATAACAATCAAATGAAACACAGGATCCTGAACTGGATTATTCTACCGTAAAGAGCATTATGGGAACAGCTGATGACATATGAATGAGGACTGAGGATTAGATGATGTTGGAGTCACAATGGCTGAATAATACATCATTCCATACACTAAATGCACACTAAAATATTCAGGAGGGTTTGGGCAATAGGTCATCAGCTTGCTCACAAATGGTTCAGGAAAAAGAAAAAGATATTTATAATATACTTAAAACCTTTCTGTAAATGTGCGATTGTTTCAAAAAATATATATATATTTTATAAAAACTGTGTAACTTTCTACAGGGGTTTGTGAGGGACAGTGAAGATGTATAAACTCACTCCATCCCATCTGTCCCCTTTGTGTTCTCTGCAAAGATCAGGCTGATGAGCTCACAATAAACTGTGTCTATGAGTCATCCAGAAATTCTTTCTTCTGCCCTCTTACAGAACCCACTGTCTGCAGCACATCTTCACCTTATACCCTCTAGTGTTTGTATACAATATAAGCAATATGCATGTTTTCATTGAATTGCTCATAAGTTAATCACTAACATCGATTTATGCATTGGAAAATAAAGTTACTGAATTTGCATATATATTAATGCAAAACATACTCTACCAGGATAAAAATACTTAAAGAAAATAAAAGCAAAATTGTGGAGTAAAGTCTTTAGAGAACCACAAAAAAATTGCATTAGATGACTGAGTACCTTTCTATTCAAGTTAATGTCACAAAGCTAGCTTATTGTTCAAAACTCCTTTCCCTTTCCTCCTGGGCTCACAGACAGACTTCATTTCACAGAGCACTTAACCACCTGGATTCAATGGCCATGTGGAGGAGAGCCCTCCTCCCCCACCACCACTTCATCTTTAAATGAGAAAATTCAAGTTTCTACTTTTTGAGCCACTGAGATTTTTTATCCCTGCTATAGCATCATTACCATTACCTAAACCAGGGAATTCTTTTTCTCAGATGAGTTGTGGACACCACAGCTGATTAAATCTCTTAGCTTCCTTAGAGGGAAACATTTATAGGACAAACCAGCCATTCTCTTGCTAATATTAGCTGACTCTTACACGATACAACTCCTCTTCATTACACTAATAAAATCATTTATTTTTCTCGCATTTATCTATCA